CATACGGCAAAAAAGTCTTTAAACCGGCAGTTGACTTCTGGTTTCAAGCTACCATCACCCCACTCGTTGTCATATTCCACCACTTCCACAGTAGTCCTCTTATCTTTTCTCTGCCTTTGTGTCTAGCTAACTCTTTCACATCTATTAATCATTGCTCTGTCCCTCCTCTCGACTTTTTATCACTTTGATATTCCTCCTCCCCTCTGTGAAGCCCGAAGGCAGCTAAATGGGTAATGGTAACTATCATAACGCCTGCCATTTGAGATAAATTTCATAGATGGGGGTTTCGCAGGTACCCCTCTTTCCAACTCACCTCATTGGTTTGCTTTCTCCAATTTAAATTCCTATTGGAATACCACTTACTTCCCTGTTTAATTCAATGTTGGCATGCGTGCGAACTTCAACTCCCACTTCACACTGGTAGAGGAGAGATATTCTGATAACAACTCACGTCACCACCAACCTTCCCCCCCCCCTCCCTCCCTCTCCCTATCAATTCGCATCATTGAATGTGCGTCGATTGAGTTACCCTTGGGACATAGTCACAGGTTAACTCCAAGTACCTATTTTCATATAACTGTAATGGCTAATTTCCTGCTTGTAAGCTATATTGGGATGGTTTTTAGGATTTTGACTCCAACCGATTAGAAGAGTAAAAATTGTGCCAATCATAGCCTAATCTCTGTACCTCCTTTTTTCAGTCCATTTTGAATGCACTTCCAATCTATTGTTCTTTCTTTTGCGTATACACCCGCCTTAATTGGATAATGTTGCTAAATAAATGTCGACCAATTCTAGGATTTACGGAGAGACGAACTGCGCTACTTATTCGCTGCAGTGTCTTGCCTTCTTTCAGTTATCCAATCAGCCCTCCTTTAACAGTGTACTTATTAAAGATACTCTCAGAAAATAGCGCTTAAATTTTTGGAGGGAGGTGGGGGGGGGAGTTAAATAGAAGTGCCACAAATGCACTTTGTGAGCAAATCGCTCGGCTCTATTTTCGCTCAAAAGGATTCATTATTTTCATTGAAAGTGCAAATTCCAATTACAAAGCCGACAGAGAATACGTCGGGCAGGCATTGAAGGGTGCTTTTCTACTCTTCGGCTCCCCCTCCACCAACCCCGGATAAAACAGAGATGTGTGGAGAAAAAACATGCGTTTATTTGTTGTCTTGACAATGAAGAATTTGTCATTTTTACACCAACTTGTCACTTGGAGGAGGAAGGGGGGGGGGGAGAGAGAGGGGGGTGCGTATCATCTACGCCAATGTTAATGCGAGAACGTGGGTGGTCTTCTAATCAGTCACCCATTCTCTTTTCCCCTAGGCTATTCCAGATTTGACCTTTGCCCATTCCTTTTATGTAATTCACTTGCAATTTTCTATTACGATTAACTGAAATCAAGGGGGAAACAGTTGCAGGCGGTGTTTATTGTTTTTAAAAATTGGGAAGTGTGTTGTCAAAATTGACTTTTCGTTTTCTCAGCTACCGGCACTACCCCTCCCCTTACGTTGCTTCGTCGTTTATGTAATCCTTAACAGCTAAGGAAAGAATATTTCTATTTAGTTAGTCAATGCTTCCAGGGGTGTGTGGAGACGGCCATCTCAATCACGAGTGCGTAGGTTAAGACGTCTTCAATCTATATTTTCTTTTCCTTTGATGCATCAAATATGTATTCGATTCGATCTCGCATCATTGATTTGTCTCGCTTGGCGCGTCTGACAGCTTCTCGTCTCACCACATTTCGACTAACGTTGAAGTTCAATAGCAAAATATTGTCGATGTGCCTAATCAGAAGGTTGTTTACAGTTAATGAAATCATTAGCATTGGATCAACAGTTGTCATCTTTTTCCTCCCTATCGAGTGGAAATGCATTTCGCTTTTTATTGGGCTGTGAAGGATTGCCTTGGTAATCGCGAAGTCTTTTCACTTATCGATATCTTCTAATTGTCGTCTACTTCATTCCATGGATAGGGTCCTGGCTTTTAAACGTATTACCATCCATACACTTCTTTCCACCACAAGATATACTTCTCTTTTTCTGTAATCTCTATTCCTATACAACCATCTTTACCCATACAATTGTGTAGTGTCTTTTCTAGTGGATATCCGTTTCCACCTTTTAATAGTTTGAATTGTAGTTGAATATATTGTCGTATTCTGACTCACGACAATGCATAAATCGAATTTGTTTAATCCAATCATATTTATAGGCATCTCTCTTCTTTTTTTTAATTCCATTATTTGCACTGATTCAGTTGTGCTATGTAAGCATCGATTTCAGCCGACTGGTTCTTACTTCAATGTGCCTTAGATGGAAATAGCCCTATAATCGATTTGTGCTGTTAGATGTGCTTCACCAAGATTCAAACCCATGTCTTATAACAGGAAGTACTGGAGGACTCAATGATAATTTCTAATTCTCAAGCTATTTGATGGAAAATGACTTCAACAAATAAAAGGGCTTGATCAGAACCTTGGACGCGTGTTGGTTGTCATTCAATAAGATTAATCCACACCTTATGGGGAATGTGTGAATGGAATCTACAAATCTAGCCATATATATATGCAGATATGCTATAACGAAAAATGCATGCAGTTTATATCACGCTATTCTGTATCGATTCTATTTTCTCCTTTGATGTTCCACGTGATTGGTCCCCAATGTGGAGATTTCAAGTCCATTCTCCCCTCACCGTTCATGTCTTCAGTGCTTATTTTAAAAATAAAACACATATCGTCACAACAATTGGTTGGATTTTTTTGAAAAAATAGTAGGTTTATGCCATTTTAATAATTGAGTCATGCAATTAATTCAAAATCAGCTGTGATTACAGGTTTCTTTTTGGTCAACTACACCCTAACAATTTTACAATTGTCGTACGATTATCTTCTTTTGTTTTGCTGGAATTGGTTATTCATTTTACAAACTTCTGACATTTTACTGCGTAGATTTTGTTCAGTTCATTTCACCAAAACGTCGCCTCGAATATATGGTTTTAGGCAGAGTGACATTTTCAGTTCTAATGAAAAGTTTGGTCTAATAAGCCGGGGTTTCTAATATTAGCTCTAGTGGGATGTGCGATAGACTTGCCTCCACTGTATATCATATTCGACCCCTTTCACAGTACTCATCTTTCCTTTTTTCTGCCCTTCTGCTCCCCTTCCACCCTGTGATTCCAGAAGTCGACTAAAGGGCTAACGATAACTATCAAAACACCTGCCATTTGAGATGAATAAATTATATTTATCCTTAGCTCTCAGTCCTTAGAAGTGACAGAGATGATTGCGTGAGGAATGAATGGCTAAATGCTGATCATGCATTTGTTAGTTTTAATTCTACCACTCGATATTTCGAAATTTAATGTTACAAGCAAATCAGAAACTCTCATCATCCTTAATCGCAATCCCTTGACCCATTTGATATTAAGTTATACTGTTAAACTATATTCAATATATACACAATTCCTCGATCGAGAATAAACCGATATCAGATTGTTAGCAGAATGCTTTCAAATTATCACAGAACATACTTGCCTTACCAATTGAGAGGAACCAGACAAATAAGTTTCCGGACCAAAATTACCGACTTAAAGGCTAATGCTAACTATCAAAACGCCTTCCATTTGAAATAAATAAATTTTGGCTTTATTTGCGATTTTTGCGTATGTTTATCTTTTTGTAGCTATGTATGGGCGTTGTTTGTGTTTAATTGCAATTTCATTAATTTTGTGCTTCGCAAGTATTATTGACCAATTAGAAATTGTGAATGATTTTGCTCCATTCGTCTATATAAATGGGCCTATAAAACTTATTATCCAGATAAGGGGCCTTTTATGTGCTCTTCAATCTTGAAATTTTGCAGAGGAGTTAGTGAAACCCCCTTAAAAGACCGGTGTCTTTATATGCCTCTAGTAATACTAATTTCCTGCAATTACTTGCAGACAGCGTTTGCTTTATCTTTCGACAAGCATTTGCTTGTGTATTCTTGCACCCATTGACAAGGGGCTATGGATCATTGGTGCGTTGTTTTTTTTACACTTGCTGAATCACCATGAACCGAATCTTCTTTCTCTTATCACTTTTTATTCTCCTGCAGTCGTTCGTTTCCTTTTGTTACAGTTGTCTTTTAGCTTCTTTTTATTCTACTAGTGTTTTTATTGTTATTATTAGTATTAGTATTATCAATGTCCTTTAAATTTCAAGTTCTTTCGGTCAAATAAGGTGAGAACGTTTTGATATCCACGGATGCATTGATTCCCTGTTTTTGCATTATAATGTCAAGCCTGAACCATATCCGTCTTTTAGGGGGGGGGGAATTATTATTCGTCGAATTATTATTATTAATCAAATGCTTGTTATTTGCTTTCGTTGTATTGAGATTTCGCGGTTTTAAGTAGATCTCCTTTTTTGTTCTATTTAACCGAAATCGGAATAAGTAACCGCACACACACACGCGCATGACATTTGAGTGAGTGATTGTGTAAATAACAAGGAACTAAGCGCCTGAATCGTTCAAAGTTGTCAGCTTGAATATTCCTTTTTTAACGTCAAATTCGACACTGTATGAGAGTGGAAATGAAGCGTTGCAATATTCCATTATTATTATTTTTTATGGGTTTGGAGACTTGTTATAGATCATGACGGTAAATTACTCACCCAGGTATTGGTAATTTCAATAAAAGTCTGTCTAGACTTTAGTGCTTAATTATAGGAAATTAAATTAGCTCAGTGCAAACTGTGGCCGCGTTGAATCCAACCATTCGTTCAAACCATAAGGACAATTGGCGGAGAACTTGTTATTGCCAGACCAAAGTTTGGAAACTTATTTATTTCAAATGGCAGGCGTTATGATAAATATCATTAGCCATTTAGCTGACTTCGGGCTTCACAGAAGGAAGGTTCATCAAAGTAGCAGAAAGTCGAGGGGTGGGGATCAGAAGAGCGATTCGCAGATGTAATAGAGGCAGACAGACACAAAGGTAGAGAAAAAGGTAAGATTAGTACTGTGGAAGGGGTCGAATATGACAAGCAGTCGGGCCATGGTAGTTTGAAGTCAGATGTCAACTGCCGGTTGATAGAATTTTTTGCCGTGAGTATACGTTGCCCAGGGTGCACCACGTGGAGGTAAGTCTATCGCACACCGCAGTTCGGAAACTTAATTATGTCAATTTAATTCTATCTGCTACAACCCTTCAAATTCCTATTTCCTTATAGTTTGGCAGTTTGTGAGTTTGTAGTCTCCCCCCCCCCCATCTCCAAAAAACTTTTAAACCTAGTTTCTCCCCTGCATTTGAGTACTTTCCTTCCACTTGTAGATCAGATCGGTGAACCAGCTGAAGTATGTGACTGATATTGAACTGACTGAAATGGGCATGAGTCGACCCGAGATTCGACGTCTCAGGAAACTCTTTGAGAAGGAATGTCCCCAAACTACTATGGGAAAGCTCAAGAAGGTAACTTCAACCCTATTCCTTGAGTACTTCTCGCTCTCAGAATGAGAAGGAAGTGTATCTCACTTGCATTGAAATTTCAAATTCCCTTCAATTTTTTAGTGGACTTTTATGAAATTCGCACCGTGATTGTCTCTCATTTGTGAGGAGGGGGCAGAAGGCGACACCAATAGTGGTATAGAATCATTGGGGGGGGGGGATTTGACTGTGCTGCACCCAAGTGGAAAGAATCAGAGGTTGGGGAGTAACTGCTGTCTTCTTTTTGCTTGCTAAGGGCGGCTCATACAAAGTTAATGAGCTAAGTACTCCCGAATGTGAACTTCGTTGTTAATCAAATGAAATTTTTTCTCTATTGTAACCGGTTGGACTGCTCCAAGGCTTTGTTAGCTTATGTAGAATCAATCCATTAGAGTGACGTCTCAATTAAGAGGAGTTGGTTTTGTGTATTCCGGAGATTGAAGGAAGAATACAAGCTTCTAATACTGATGATAAAATTGATCGATCGACAGAATAATTTGGCCTTCCCATCTTTAAGCGAGGAAAGATGACACTTGGTGACGGGAATTAGTTTGGCATTGAACACCATCTGTTCTTGTCGTTATTGAGCGTATTGTGTTATTCTCCCGTTTCAGAAACTGGCCCGCTCGACAAGTGCTCGACCACCTCCATCGCGGTATCAACGTGCTTCCACAGAACCACCAGGAGATGACAGGGAAAGCATCTTTGGCGAAGCCATCAGCAGCATTGGAGGTGATAGCAGGCACATTGCTGGCTATCGTGTGATTCCAGTCAGCGAACTTGAGTTGGCTAGTCCTCTGGGACAGGGTGAATTTGGACGGGTTCATCAGGTAGGTCTTCTTTTTTTCTTGCTCTATACTGCGGAGAAGAATCTTTATTGAAGTAACGATTGCCTCCATAACGCTTACCCACCTATTGAAGCTAATTTTGTTTCAGTTAATCGGCATTAACTTCCTATTTTGTGAAGGTTCCTCCCTCCCCTTACTATTGATTCGTTGTTTTAATTCGCTTTATTTGAACTAAGCGGTTATCGTTTTTATTGCAAAAAGAAAACATATGTCTTGCATTCTTTGATTTAACTGTTTTTGTATTATTTTGGTAGCATTTATTTTCTAAAATAATTCCTTTTTTAAAAAATTTTGCCTTATCTTGTCCCTTGAGATATTAAGAGCATAATATTTCGTAAAGTTCAATATTTTAGAATTTTGGAAATGTACTAAATAGTGAACTTTTCTTTCAGAGTAAAACATGCTTTAACTTGCCCGTAAATAAATAAATATGAGCACTTGCTCTCCAAAGGTTGTCGCTATTGTTTGCATTAATTGGGGGATGCATTTGTGAGCCTTTCGGAATTAGTAGCTTCAAGAACTGTGTTTCATTTGCTTTCTAGACGCTGAGACGCATTTATTGATTTACAGCAATGGAATGTGGGAGGAGGGGGGGGGGGGGGGGGGGGGGTTGATGGAGGTTAGGTCAAGCGTTATTTATGTTGTAGATCTTAACATTTAAGATTTCTAGCCATTAGCAGTCGTACTTGACGCTTCATTGTCATAAATGCTTCCATTCTACCTGGCGTGGGTTTTTGAAGGTCTAATTCACTCTCTCTCTCTTATTTGCGTTTTCGTAAGTCCGCATTTTACAAACCAGTTGAAGCTGCATATAAAAGCAAAAGAATTGTGTAATTCGGAACGATGCAGGTTTAAATGATTGCAGAGCGTTGCTCTTCCATTTTAGACTTGTAAAATTGTTGTGTTGGTTTATACCTGTTAGAATTGCGCTTAATGTCGCTCCAATTGATTTAATACTGCATTTGCCTTCGATTTGTACTCCATTGAATGCCATTTTGTGGATGGTTTCTTAAGAAACACTTAACCGAAGAAGATTTGGGGGTGGGGGTGGTAGGTGGAGGGAGGTTAATCACCTTTTGGCGCACATCACTCGGTGACGTGGTTTCTACTCTTATCGTTCTATCTTCTGGCCTTTTCTCACACAGGCATCGCATGATAATGTCCAATTATTGGATCTAAATACCTGATTACCAGTTTTTGGATTCAAAGTGATTTTAACAGATATCGAACTTGGGGTTTAAGATGTCTTCGAATTTTTTGGAACCATTCGAAGCTTATCTGTGTGGGGATTTTTGTCCTAGGTTATCTACTGCAAACAAACATCGTTGTTGATTTGTAACTGGCGGGTTTGTTGAATGACTTTTGGTGGGGGGGGG